TGGTGTATGATGAGTGGTGTATGATGAGTGGTGTATGATGAGTGGTGGTTGAACAGCTGTTGAATGTCCGTAACACGGAAGTTTTGCACACTAAACTTCCTTTGAATATGTTTGTGAGATTTGACTTTTCACAAAATGAACTTATCTTTGGACCACCTGGAACGTCAAGCTACATGGTGTTGGGGTTCCAGGTTTTGACCCATCTCCACCTCTCGAAGACAGAAAAGACAAGATGCGCTTGATCTCCGATGCATCAATGATATTCCTCCTGTCTCCGATGACGCGGTCCTTCTCGCAGCCGAACATATATCCCACGTTGCCTGTGGAATGGCCACCTGACTCAAGACTTCAAATGCTTGATGTATCTACAGAATTTTTGGCACAATCTATAGTGTGCACTGAGTGCACTGCTAGTGCACGCTTGATTCTACCAACACATTTATCTGACTAGTGACCAACGCCCCCCGGCACAGTCTTTTGGAGCACGCTCACCTGTTACCCACTCATTGTGATTGCACACATAGGCACAATGGTACCGGGCAGCTATTGCGATGACCCACTGCATCCTTCGAAATAAACCACCAATGCCCTCACCATTGGGACAAGGGAGCACGTTGTGCACAAAGCAAGCTGGTTCTATGGACGCCGAAGTGGTAACCTGTGCCAATCTGCTGGTAGTAGCGATAGTAGTGGTAAAAGTTCCGTCAGCTTGTCCGACAATAGTCGCAACGGCAATAGTTGTAGGTTGTTGAGTTTCCAGGCCATCAAAGGTGCCAGGGTTGCTAGTATGTAGGCTGGCGGTTTCCAATGCGTCCTCATGGGAGTGTGATCGCCGATCATTGAAATGCCGCACTTGAAAATGTTGCGGGTACAACCGATAAGGCACAACCATAACAGCCATGGCGCAAGCACAAGTGAGCGGTCTGCAACGATCCATCCAATCTCTTATCTTTTTCATCTTCAAGCTCACCCTCCAGGCCCTGAGCCCAAAACGACCTCTGATACGCAGGTTGGAGCGTTTCGAGCATGTGAAGAACAAAACCGGTGTGTCCAAGGCTTGCGTCTTGTAGCTTACTTAAGCTTTAGCTTGTTTATTTAAAAGACCACATTTACTACCTACACTACCCCTCCACCTCCAGTCTTCACCTACCCCCCGCAAATATACCAAAAATTACCAAAACAAGTCCAAGACAGCACACGTTGTAGACTCAGAAAAGAAAACCTTCTTGGATCGATCAGGCGAGCCAATGCCCATAAGTACTTGCAAATCTGTAGATGTTCTTCTACAGTTTCTACACTTCGCAAAAAGTCTTTCTCCAACTCTCCCAGATCGATGGCATCTCCTTTTGGACAGCCTGTCTCCAACAAGTTGAAGATGAGAAACCCTTCCCGGGCAAAGCTCCCCCAAAAGCATCCAAAAGGATAGGTTGATTTGTTTTGTGCTGCCATCCGCGCTCCAACAAAGAATAAGCTAATTGCTTGCAACCAATGGAAACTGTGGATATATAGGAATGTGCATTCCAGTTTGATGTCAGCCACAACGGCTTTGATTTTTTTGGCTCAATATATAAAGAGCGCATGCAGGTGCGCTTGACTTGTGGTAGCTCAGAGACAACATGAGACAACTAAGAAACCTGGTTTTCTGATGCGTTCTGCATCGGGAGAGTAGAATAGAAAGTCAGCTCATCCCTCAACGAATCCTGAACGTGGCCGTTGCTTTTGTTGCTTGTTGGATTGAAAGGGGTGGCCTTGACCTCCTTCTACCGTAAAACTTTCAACGGATCTGAGCTGCACTTCAAAATGAAAGTGTTTCGAGACCCAAGTCCGGGGTTGCGCCACTCAACAACATGCCTGGAGAAAACTACACACACACTTCAGAGATTAGTCGATTGAGCTGCACTCCCGTAGAACAAAAGGCTGATGGTGCAGTGCTTCTTAAGATCTGCCCAAGAGCTCCACATTCTCTGCCCTGAGTATCTGCAAAACGATTCCTGTTTACACCAGCTGCATAGGTGCGTGTGAGACTTTGCTAAAACGAGACTGAGCTTCTCTTTCAAAGCAACTTCCTTTGGAAGCAGCCCGTTTTGTCAAACCAAACGTGCAAAGACTCAAGATAGGAAGTGCTCACTACAAAACCTGGTCTGAGGTTGCTTCATCGGGTTCTTAGTGACCCAACCTGAGCAACAAAACATCTGATTTTGCAGCTGGTTCATTTCTGGTGCATCATTGCATTTCATGCCCAATGCTCCAAGCTTCAAATCCAGGCGTCCGTGATGGCAAGGATGTCTGGTGCTTCCAGCCACCCGGATTTGGATAGATTGGCCTCGAGAAACATGCATCTTGGTGCTGCTATGCATAGATATGCATAATATAAGTATGTCTTCTACCTGCTTGGGCTTCAAACATGTCATGTGAGCAATGGAGACCGTGTCTTTCTTCCATCAACATCTCTTTATTTTTGACGGCCAGGCAACGCTTTTGGTGCCGGTCTTTGCCGAAGCGAAGGCAGCGCCTTGGCACAGAAGTCCTTTGCCGTAACACCTTGGAGTAACACCTGGACTAGACCTAGTCTCGCACACAAGTGAAGGAACAAACGCTTGAACTTGGGCTAAACTCATCTTTAAAGAAGAGGATTGCTTTATAGCACTGTAAGCCTCAAGCGAGCTCACGAAGGTCCACAGTGGGCGTGTCCTTGCCAGGTGTCCGTGGAAAGCTTCCAGCCGAAGTTTGGCTGAAATCCAGCGCCGGAACCTCGTCATCTGCTAACGGACTGCTCAATGTATCTCAATCTGCAAAGAAAGAAGTGCTCCATTGGCTACTGCGGACCCCAGATTGGGACATTTCACAATCTCTCCCTTAAGGCTTAAGCACCTGAAAACAAAATGACTATATATTATATACATATAGATACTGTATATATAACTATAATTAACTATATACATACAATGCCAATCCAGGATTCTTTCTGACATGGTGACCTCCATCTGCAAGATTGTACAGCCCACTATGCATGCAATACAATATGTACTTTCTCCAAAATTGACATAGGTCCAAAAGCAAAGCAAACTGTAAGTAAAGCCCTTCTTACTACTAGCTTTATGGACTCCAACCTACTTGCGATGGCCTCCACCAAATAGCGTCCCAATAGGTCAAAAAGAATCAAATATATAGGTGTTTGTGGAAATAGAACCCACCCTCGTTTGCTGTACTTTCTGCAAATACGGGGGCATCCTTTTTGTAACGTTCAGTAAGTTGTCGTAGTGTTCTTGTGACTTGCCAAAGCACAAAGCACATCCAAGGAACCTTTGGTGCTGTCAAGTCGAGTGTGTTTGCCTCGCTCGTCAACCTAATCCAAAACCATCAACAAACCCAGCGATGAATTCGCCGAACAAACTGCTGCAAACATTGCTTTGATGGTTGTCCATCTCTTCGGAAATTAATCTCAACATTAAAAACTTCGATTCATAGAACCGTGACAAAGAATTGATGATGAAGCAAAAAAAAGCGAGACACGTCTCTCCAAATCAACAAAGTTATATACTACTCATGGAACATGACATGACATGTTCATACTGCCGGGAATGCCTCCAATTTGGCAACGAAGTCGGCTGTGTCCATTTTTCCTTGGAAACTGGCCAAGGTGCCTACACTGTGAATCAACAAGTGCCATTATCATCTCCCCAGGTTGCCTCAACTTCTGTTTATATCCTTCTCCCATGGAACTCCGCCTTCAACTCCGCACATCAGCTTTGCCATAGAGTCACAACTTGTTTCAACTTTTCCGCACAATGATATTCGTTGATGCTTTGACAATGGCTCCAAGCAGCCATCCATCGCTTGAAATCCATCGGTTCGCCAAATGTCTTGGATGCGGCAGGATCGTGATACCTTCAAACAAAGCGGAACAAAGAATGAGCAACACATTTTTATAGTGGCTACATGAGAACGTGCACCAACTGTCTGAAGGCATGCCAGGCCAACCCGCCCCCTGTGCCACGCCGCCAGCACCTACTAGGTGCATAGTGACCAAATGCTATCTCGCCCTGGCATCCACAAGATTGCTCCATGAAACTAAAATGCTCTAAATGTGACATGTATGACACACATGCACAAGCCACAGTCTTGCCTGAGTTGGCTGTATCACTGTGCGGGACATGGTGTCTCCACGGTGAGCCCGCTTTGAGCAAAAGGATTCGCAACGTCCAAAAGCAAGACTGGATTCAACTCAATATGCAGGTCTCAAACGGCCACTAGTTCCTAGCGATTTCCTGCATGAAAAGAAAGGTGTTCGGACTGCAGCCTCCATAGGCTTCTTCTTGGCTTTCATCAGGTTTGGAAGGGTTGCATAACCTAGGATGCATTTGCATGTTTGCCATCATTGTTCAAAAGAACACTACAGAGATCCTGACGAGGCTCATTTAGTCTGAGGTCAGCAGTGACCTTTGGGACGGCTCCCAAAACAACAAAGAATATGAGCTTTTGCTGAAATTTAAGTGCGTCCTTGTGTATGCGAGCTTACCTCTTGCTGTACTTGTCTTCTGTCTCTTCCTCTTGGTCTTGGATTAGACCCCTCGCATTGGAGGTGAAACTAAGTTGGTATCCACTGCTGGCAGGGGAATCTTGACCTCCTGGATGCCAGCGTCTACCTGACCATTTTTGCATGACATGGAGAAGCCTCATGGAATGATTGCATCTATCACACTGGCCCCACCAACACCAGCATGAGAGACTGATGAGATAGATTCGATGCAATGCAATTGGAGCTATTCTTGTCCGGTACCTCTCGCTCCACTTGCAAGGAAGTCTTGCCTGCATCAACCTCGAAGTGCTGTGGCATTTCTTAAAAGGACACAGGCTCAGGTGTTTGAAAGAAATGCCCTAAAGAATTAACTGCGTTCAAATGCCATGGTATTGTGAGCCGAAGGCTAGGCCCGAAACTATCCCAAACTCCCAAATCTAAAACCCAACACGGAGCTGCTTGAAATGGAACATCTATATAGGAACCAAACCACTAGTGCAAGCGCTTCTTCAAGGAAGTTCCCCTGCCCTCAGGCGGGGAAACTTCCTTCAAGACACGAGGCCCTGCGTCCAGTCGCTAGAAGCTAACTTAGCCTAGCAGTTTACTCCTCCCTTAATTAAGTAGGCGCCTACTAAGTCACATAGGAGCGGGCAAAAAACACACGTAATGAAACTGAGATTGCCTCCACCTTCGAGGCGCAGCCTGCTTGTGGCCACTTCAAAAGACCTGTGAATTTGAAAAATCCTAGTGAATTAGTGGCTACAGACACTTTGCAAACCAGTGCTCTGAAACATCTTTTTCACTGCCTGCAAGAAGGGCTCCTGTCTGGTTGCTATCATCATCGATGGCCTCAAGCACCAGGAGAAACCAAGAGAAATCGCAATAAGTGCTTCACCATCATCAGCAAGCGAAAAGTGAAAGTCCTGCTTGCCCAGCAGGACGACACTCGGCGTTTCCTCCGATAAAAAGGGCCAGGGCCATTGTGAAACACATATAATATATCTGCCGACCCCTTGCGACTGCAAGGGGAGCGCGCGAGAGAAGGTACGAGTTCTCATGGTGTGGATGGTTCGAGCATGGTCTTGCTGTTTGGGGGCGCACGGAGTGGCTTGCTCTCACAGATGGTGTTTTGCTCTCCAGGGCAAGGGCTAGATGGGAAAAAAGCTCTGGCGAGGCCAGTTCTCCGTTTGCCAGGTTTCAAACTCGACGAAGGAGATTGGCGGGAGCTTTGGAGGGAGGGTAGGAGCATGGTGTTGAGGGGAGGTGCTTGTGTGGGACGTTTTTTTTTTTACGGCTAGATGCCCCGGATACGGCTAGATGGCCCAGACAGCGGGATAGAAGCGTTTCTAGAGGTCCGAAAGCGGAAGAAAGGGCTTGCTCGAGGCTGTTTCACAACCTTGTTTGACGAGCGACGTTAGACACCCAGATACGGCTAGACCCATTCAGACAGCGGAATAGAAGCTTTTCTAGAGGTCCGAAGGCAGAAGAAAGGGCTTGCTCGAGGCTGCTTCACAAACTTGTTTTACGGGGTCCGAAAGCAACGTTAGAGACTCTGGGGCCGCAGTGGAAGGACAATTTTTGGAGAATTTTTGGTCTCGAATTAGATGGCGCGGGGGAGATTGCCGGGAGCGTTCGGACTGGGTCTCTGGAGCCGGGTGGAAAGGAGTGAAACGGCAGGCTTCGGCCAGTCCGCCGGGACTTCGGTACGCGGAGCTCTCCAACAATGCACAGGGATCAAGCCCCACCATGGGGAATTCGATGGTCAATCCCACCGAACCATTGTTGAATCCCTACGTCCCGGCTTTCCAACAACACGTACCACCCTTACCGTCGTTTCATCTGACCCCTCGTCACTGATGCAACGATCCTCCTCTTCTCCTCCTTTGTCATCCTCTTCTCCTTCTATGGCCCTCTTCTTCTCCTCCGCTTCTACTTCTCTGGTCCTCCCCTTGTCCGTCTCTGGTCCTCCCCTTCTCCGGATTCTCTCCTGCATACCCCATTTACCTCCTCTTGTCCTCCTTCTTTTGTCCTTCTTTCGTCCTCGTCTTGGTGCGTTGGCGTTATCCCCCTGTCCTCTGCTGCTCAGTCCGTTATCCTGCCGCTGTCGTGCTTTACGTTGCTTCATGGGTTAGCAACGCTAGACTGTTGTTGTAATAGTCTTTGGTACCCTAGGGATTTTGGCGTCTCCAGATCCTTTGGACCCTCGTCATGAAAACGGGGGGACCCCCAGGCAGCACCCATACCACGGACAAATTCGTCAAGTTTCAACGCTTGCGATGGCCGTTAGTTGACGAGTCTTCGACCGTAGGGCTAGAAATTCTAGCCACCGTCGAAAAAAACTCCAACAATCAATTCGAGACAGAGATACTTGGAAATTGCGCCCCGGAGGAGAAAAAGGGCCATTCGCAGGTATGAATGTGATCTTGACCGGCGACCTTTGGCAGTTCCCGCCGGTGAAAGCCACCGCCATTTTCCAAAACCCTTTGTGGAAAGCGGAAGCTTTCAAGTTGCAGCCCTGCAGAAATTGTTTTGGACACATAACACAGAAGCTACGCAGCTACGCAACACTTAGTCGAACTGACCAAAGAACAACGCTGTGAAGATCCATGGCTCAGTGTCGTCCTGAAACACGCACGCCACGGAAGCATGACTCAAGAAATTTGGTGTTTTTTGCGTGGCTTTCCGACTTTGCGCGCGGGCTCCTGGAACTTCAAAACTGACACGGTCGAGCGCGGCCAGACAACTTGCGCCGACCTGCATTTGCAAAGTGCGGCCCTGCGCAAGCAATCGCTTGAATGCAAGCAGTGTCAATCCGAACGCCAGCGTAGGTGTCTTGTTGGCAAAGATCAGAAAAGCCCAAAGTTTCTCAACAATCCTTTTGTGCATGGACTCAACGCAGCGAAATACATAGCCGCCAACCTTCGTGCTCGCCAAGTGGCAGCCACCCGGAGGGAAAGACCGTTATGGATAGTGGCCCAAGATACACCACTTTTTCACGTCGAACCTGCCGAACTACCAGCCCGGCGGGCTATGTGCGCCATATCTGGGACCTATGTTGGGCTGTGTCAGATCATCTTGGAGCACATGTTCTGCCGTCTCTCCCTCTCTCTCTCTCTCTCTCTGTTTTTGAGACTGTGTGGGGTCTATGTTGCCACATCTTGAGGCAGTCTTGGCCCATCTAGGGGCTCTGTTTCCCATATCTGGGACCTAGGTAGGGTTATCTTGCGGCTACGTGTGCCATATCTGGGACCTATGTTGGGCTCTCTTGAGGGGCTGTGTCAGATCAACCGAGGGTTATATACGGGTGCGCCCCCCTTCCGGCCCAAAACGGGCGGACCCCGTCGTCAATTCCGGGTCACTGAAGTATAGAAAACACTGTGTTTTACAGGGTTTATTGCGCATATAGAAATACGACGCGGCGAAGAGGGAGAAATGCAAAAACGCAGTGTTTTTCAAGGGTGGTGTCGGTAATGCGCGCCGGGCGGACAGGCATAATCGACATTTTGTGGGTAGAGGCTCTCCAGACGACTTAACTTGCCTAACATATCCCCAACATAGGCCCAAGATAGCCAACATATCCCCAACATATGCCCAACATAGCCTCCAAGATGGCTCAACATAGGCCCAACCTAGGCCAACATGGGCCTAACATAGGCCAACGTAGGCTCAACATACGCTCAACATGGTTCAACATCGGCCCAAGATGTGCACAACATAGACCACATGGGCCCAACTTGGCCCAGCCTAGGGCCCAGTACCCCCCCAATAGCTTAACGTGCGCCCGACCCAGCCCTACACAGACCCTAGTGGGCCGGCGCCCGGCTGTTAGGCGTAAGCCCTTAAAATCCGGGCGCCGGCCACGGAGCCTGCCCGGAGGGCCTTCGGTGGTAACCGAAGGTTATATACGGGCGCGCCCCCTGCCGCCAACCCTCGTCACCAAAACGGGCGGACCCCCTCGTCACTTCCTCCCCACCTCCGGGTCACTGATGCCCCTGCAATTTACAGTGTATCGTGTGCGCGAGGTATAAACAACACCTGTGTTTTACAGGGTTTTGGGCCCCTCGGCGGCCGAGAATTTCATTTTGGCGATGTCAAAAAAACGGTAGGTTTTTCCATGGTTTTTGCTTTGCGGGAAGGAAAAAATCGTAAAAAGTTGTATCGGAAGATTTTTTCAACATAAATTGCCTAACATATCCCCAACATAGGCCCAAGATAGCCAACATATCCCCAACATATGCCTAACATAGCCTCCAAGATGGCTCAACATAGGGCCAACGTAGGCCAACATGGGGCCAACATGCGCCAACATAGGCCCAGCATAGGCCCAACCTAGGCCAACATAGGCCTAACATAGGCCAACGTAGGCACAACATAGGCTCAACATGGGCCCAAGATGTGCCCAACATAGACCACATGGGCCCAACTTGGCCCAACCTAGGGCCAAGATGCGCGCCAGAACTTTGCTCAATGTAGGCCCCACCAGGGCCAACATAGGCGTGACATACGCCCCACAGACCCAAGTGGGCCGGCGCCCGGCTGTTAGGCGTAAGCCTTTAAATCGACGTAATTTACGGTGTTTCGTGTGTGTGTGAGGTATAAAAAACACTGTGTTTTACAGTGTTTATTGCGCATATCGAAGTGCGACGCGGCGAAGATGGAGAAATGCCAAAATTCTGTGTTCTTCAAGGGTGGTGTCGGTAATGCGCGCCGCACGGACAGGCTTAATCGACATTTCGTGGGTGTTGGGCACGCGCCAACAGCAAAGGCGGAACATGTGCTCCAAGATGATCTGACAGAGGCCCTGAAGAGGACCCAACATAGGTCCCAGATATGGCACACATAGCCGCAAGATAACCCTACCTAGGTCCCAGATATGGGAAACATAGCCCCAAGATGGGCCAAGATTGCCTCAAGATGTGGAAACATAGGCCCCACACAGTCTCAAAGAAAGAGAGAGAGGGGGGAGACAGAGACAGAGACAGAGAGAGAGAGAGAGGGAGAGAGAGAGAGACAGGACCCAGCCCTACAGGGCCGGCGCCCGCCTTTTGGCGTACCCTCGGGCGCAAAACGGGGGGACCCCGTCGTCACTTCCGGCTGTCGGGCTCCTTCTGCGAAGCAGAAGGCGTAGCCGACCCCAAGGTGGAGGACCCAGAAAACCCAGTGTTTTTGACGTGTTTTTTCCGCTCTTGTTGCTCACGATGGGTCAACATAGGCCAACATAGGCCCAAATAATGCTGGAAATGCTTGCCGCACCGGGGTGCTTCGTCTGCATCGTGGGCGGATGCTGGGCTGACATGGGCCCAAGCTAGGCCAACATGGGCTCAAGCTGAGCCAACATGGGCCCAAGATGGCGAAGCTAGATGCAAGCTATGCTCAACATAGCCCCAAGACCGCGCAACACAGGCTCCAGATGGCCAAGCTAGACCCAAGCAGTGCGCAACATAGCCCCAAGCCCGCCCAACATCCACTCCTTCAGCCTGCGCCCACGCCCAATTTTCCTCCTCCAGCCCCCTAGGCCTACCTCAACGCCCCTGGCCGGCTGTCCGGGCGCCGGCCACGGAGCCCGTGGCATGCCCGGAGGCCTTCGGTGGTAACCAAAGGTTAAATACGCTGGCCCCCCCAACCGCCGACCCTCGTCACCAAAACGCGGGGACCCCGTTGTCACTTGCGGGTCATTGACGCCCTTGTAATTTGCGGTGTTTCGTGCGTGTGCGAGGTATAAAAAAAGGACTGTGTTTAACAGGGTTTATTGCGCATATCGAAGCGCGACGCGGCGAAGATGGACAAATGCAAAGACGCTGTGTTTTTCAAGGGTGGTGTCGGTAATGCGTGCCGGGCGGACAGGCGTAATCGACATTTTGTGGGTCGAGGCCTTCCAGACGATTGAAATTGCCCAACATGTCCTCAACATAGGCCCAAGATAGCCAACATATCCCCAACATATGCCCAACATAGCCTCCAAGATGGCTCAACATAGGCCCAACATAGGCCCAACCTAGGCCAACATAGGCCCAACATAGGCCCAACCTAGGCCAACATAGGCCTAACATAGGCCAACATAGGCTCAACATAGGATCAACATGGGCCCAAGATGTGCCCAACATAGACCACATGGGCCCAACTTGGCCCAACCTAGAACCTAGGGCTGTTAGGCGTAAGCCTTTAAATTGCCTAACATATCCCCAACATAGGCCCAAGATAGCCAACATATCCCCAACATATGCCCAACATAGCCTCCAAGATGGCTCAACATAGGGCCAACATAGGCCAACGTGGGGCCAACATGCGCCAACATAGGCCCAACATGGGCCAACATAGGCACAACATAGGCTCAACATGGGCCCAAGATGTGCCCAACATAGACCACATGGGCCCACTTTGGCCCCACCCAGGCCCAGTACGCCCCTGATAGCTGCGCGTGCGCCCGACCCAGCCCTGCACAGACCTAGTGCGCCAACACCCAGCTGATAGGCGTAAACCTTTAAATCCGGCCAGGGGCGACGAGCCCCGTCAGGGCCGTGTCCTGCGTAATGCACTTGTCCTTCTGCGAAGCAGAAAGCGTAGCCGCCCCCAGGTGGGGGACCCAGAAAACTCAGTGTTTTTGACGTGTTTTTTCCGCTCACGATGGGTCAACATAGCCCAACATAGGCCCATATAATGCTGGAAATGCGTGCCGCACCGGGGTGCTTCGTCTGCATCGTGGGCGGATGCTGGGCTAACATGGGCCCAAGCTAGGCCAACATGGGCTCAAGCTGAGCCAACATGGGCCCAAGATGGCCCAAGCCAGACGCAAGCTATGCTCAACATAGCCCCAAGACCGCGCAACAAAGGCTCCAGATGGCCTAAGCTAGACCCAAGCTGTGCGCAACGTAGCCCATCCACTCCCTCAGCCTGCACCCGCGCCCAATCTTCCACCAGCCCCCTACCCGGCCCTTAATCCGCCCAGAGGCGATGAGCCCCGTCAGGGCCGTGTCCTTTGAGGGGAGCAGCCTGCTTCTGCGAAGCAGAAAGCATAGCCGACCCCAGGTGCGGGACCCAGAAAACTCAAGGTTTTTGATGTTTTTTGTTTCCGCTCGTGTTGGCGGATGCTTGGCTAACATGGGCCCAAGCTAGGCCAACATGGGCTCAAGCTGAGCCAACATGGGCCCAAGATGGCCCAAGCTAGACGCAAGCTATGCTCAACATAGCCCCAAGACCGCGCTAAGCTAGACCCAAGCTGTGCGCAACATAGCCCCGAGCCCGCCCAACATCCACTCCCTCAGCCTGCGCCCGCACCCAATCTTCCACCCTCCAGCCCCCTACTTCAACGCCCCTGGCCGGCTGTCGGGCTCCTTCTGCGAAGGAGAAGCGTAGCCGACCCCAAGGTGGAGGACCCAGAAAACCCAGGGTTTTTGACGTGTTTTTTCCGCTCTTGTTGCTCACGATGGGTCAACATAGCCCAACATAGGCCCAAATAATGCTGGAAATGCGCACCGGGGCGCTTCATCTGCATCGTGGGCGGATGTTTGGCCGATGCTGGCACTGCATTGCCCCATCTTGGCGTTGTCTTGGCCCATCTTGGGGCTATGTTGGGCCCATGTTGAGCCTATGTCCCTATGTTGACGCTACGTTGGCCCATTTTGGCCCTAGCTTGGCTCATCTTGCGGCTATGTCGGCCCATTCTTGGCTCATCTTGGAGCTAACCTTGGCCCTCTGTTGGCCCATCTTGGCACTACCCTTGCCCAACGGCAACAACCATCACCACTACCACCACAACAACAACAACCAACAACAACAGCAGCAACAACAACAACAGCAACAACAACAACCACAACCAGAACCACAACCACAACCACAACAACAACAAAAACAACCACAAACGCCTAGGGTTTTGACGTTTTTTGCTCGGCGGATGTTGGGCCGACGCTGGCACTACGTTGCCCCATCTTGGCGTTATCTTGGCCCATCTTGGGACTATTTTGGGCCCATGTTGACCCTATGTTGGCCCATCTTGGTGCTACCTTGGCTCATCTTGGGGCTCTGTTGGCCAGCTTGTCCCTATGTTGACGCATAACCCATTTTGGCCCTAGCCTGGCTCATCTATGGGGCTATATCGGCCCATTCTTGGCTCATCTTGGGGCTAACCTTCCACCCACCTGTGCGTCTTTTCTGTGAAGCCCGTTGCACCGGCGCCTCGGACCGGCGAACCACGACCGCGGCTTCCCTGACTTGACGCCCCTGGCCGGCTGTCGGGCGTAAGCCCTTAAATATATATATATATATATATTGTGAAGCGTACACGTAACGTCATCTGCGCATCTGCGCTGGCATCTCTGCAGGAGCGACACATTCTTCGTCCTTCTCCACTACTTTGGCCAACAGCTTTGCAACCGCCAGTGGCTGCAGCTCTTGGTCCGTTCTCATGTCCCTGGCAACAGTCAAGTCAAACCCTCTGATCAGCCTGTTTCTAAGACACACTAGTGACTAGTTCCCGGCAAATCAAGTCAAACACCGCTCTCTCCATACAAGTACTGTAGTTTCATCGCAAAACCAGTGAAGTGCTACTTGATGCAAGTGATGGTCGCAACTCCATGTCATCCAGGTGACCCTCCATTGTACGAGTAGGTTTTCAGGTTGATATGTATTACTGTATCACTACTAGCCCCAGCCGATTTGGAGTTGCAAAAGCAGGGCATGTGTTGATATGTGTTGCCACATCAAGCTTGGCTCTCGAGTCAAGGGAAAGCCAGTGGCAGCCCTTAAATTGCAAGGTCCGCGTCTTCAAATGGATGGCCCGGTCGGCGCCCATGGCTAACGCTTGCCGCAAAGTTTCTGACGCCTCCACAGTGGCCACGTTGGTTCAAAGACCACTAGCATCACAAAATGGCTTCGTTGCTTGACTCTGGCAAAACAAGCAGGTGCTCACCTTGTCCGGACCGGCCGACACCGCTACCAACTCTGAGATGTGACCTTTCCTGTAGGATAGGATGTAATGCCGTAACGCCATTAAACGCAATTTGTTTTGAAGCTCTTCACAGTTCTGGGAAGCCAACTCTTTCAATCGCAATCCTTCTTCGACCGCAATCTGTCGAGTAGAAAGAACAACCACACAGCCAAATTTGAAGGCCTTAGAATAGAATGTTACATGCCTCGCAGAAAGGATTCATGGACATTTTCACGTTGTTCAAGTCGACGCCAGTCTTGTCTGGCTTGACCCGCACCTGTGGCCGGACAAAAGGTCTCCACTCCCAACCACTTGACGAGCCTTTTTGCCTTTTCATGCAACTACAATGCAGGGAAGCAATGAATCTGCGTCAATGACCACGGCAAAAGCCAGCATGTTGCCATGTGGGAGTCTTCCACCAGTGAATCGGAATCTGTGTGTATATTAAAGTGCAAATATGCGTCATCTAGTCACCTAGTCGATGCATGCAAATGAAAAGCTCGGAGAGCTGCAATTACGGTTGACACTGACACTTCAAACTTGTGGCCCAGAGGGGGGTGGCGAAAGCTAGGCAAAGAAACAACGCTGGGATCCCCTTTGAAATTCACCTCCGGTGCTGGGTGGCCCGGTTCTATAGTATAAAGCAGCGCCCCCCAGCTTCGGGACACCTAGGTCCTTATAGAATCTGAGGCCTGAATCAACTGACATCATTATAAAATCTAACCCCTTAGTCGGAAAGGCAACCTCACGGACAGTGGTCGGAAAAGGTCCGCTCGCTAAAGAATCACACCTCCCATCTTCGACCAAAAAATAACATCAAGATAACCAAAAAAAAATCCTGTGATTCTATAGTGGCCAGAGCGTTTTTCGATTGGCGTTTCCGATCCTTCGGGTGGAAATCCGACAACATGCAAGTTAGACGCAAAAGAAGTGAAGCTCATCTTTCACTGCTATTGGCACGGTGTTGGTGTGTGATATGAAGCCACGCCACACTTGCGTCAGGTCAGTGAACGCTTGTCTCAACATATCTCAAGTCGAAACCAAAAGTTATTATTTGTACCATGCACTTGATTTTGAGACCTGTTTGTTATTTGCCTTGTCTGCACCCATCCATAGATCATCCAGGTAATTCCAGGATATTGGGATATATTGGGCAGATATCTATTTCACTGTGTCTTCAAAATCCACCGCATCGAGCATCAAGGAGCTTATAAAATCACAACCCCCATGTGACCATGCAGAAGCTCACGGACAGTTACATGAAATCAATATACCACTATATAATCTGACATCCCAGCTCTAGTACATCAAACTCACGGACAAAACTAGCTAAAACGCTGTTTGTCTTAGAATCAGGACCCCTAAGAGACTCCGTTGTATAGAGAGAAATTGTTATTATAAAATGATCATTTTCAGTACCCAGGTGATCTGATTCCATAGAGGAAATTCCAACCGGGATACGCTGGGGCTCTTTAGGCAGCAAAAGCCTGACCGGGAATCGCAACATGCCATGGCCAAGGGAAAAGGAGAGTGCCAACAGCGCCCCCCCAATACGACCCCAACACAGCCAACACGTGGCAACACACAACCACCCCAGCAACCGCAGCAGCAGCAGCAGCAGCAGAAGCTACCAAGCAGCAGCAGAAGCAGCAGCAGGAGTAGCTAGCAAGCAGCAGCACCAACTACCAAGCAGCAGCAGCAGGAGCAGCTACCAAGCAGCAGCAGCAGCTACCAAGCAGCAGCAGCAACAGCTACCAAGCAACAGCAGCAGCAGCTACCAAGCAGCAGCAGCAGCAGCAGCAGCAGCTACCAAGCAACAGCAGCATCAGCTACCAAGCAGCAGCAGCAGCAGCTACCAAGCAGCAGCAGCAGCAGCTACCAAGCAGCAGCAGCAGCAGCAGCAGCAGCAGCAGGAGCAGCCTGCAAGCAGCAGCTACCAAGCAGCAGCATCAACAGCAGCTACTAAGCAGCAGCAGCAGCAGCAGCAGCTACCAAGCAGCAGCAGCTACTAAGCCACAGCAGCAGCAGCAGCTACCAAGCAGCAGCAGCTACCAAGCAGCACCACCAGCTACAAAGCAGCAGCAGCAGCAGCAGGGAAAGAGTGAGCTTTCCTTAGAGTCTTTCGTGCCCCAACATTTGGTCTCGAACAATAGCACATATAGGTGCTGCCTGAGTAATTGTAGAAGGGCGACGTGGAGAGACAGATATATCTGATATATGTGTTTTTTCAACGAATAAATGCTGACGATGCAGCCAGCAGCGGTGTGCATGATTGACATCTAGGGGTTGCACGCGAACATGTGTCAGCGACCGAAAACTCCGTCGCAACGCTTGCGCATGCTCCCTGTCGCTCGAACATGGAACGCGGACTACCATGAGTGAAGCAAAAAGCCCGTTCAAACATCTTACTGGGTTCTGTCATTCATGTGTGTAGTAAGTATCATCTTTTGATCTGCATGGATAGCGGATAGTGCATTCTGATTTGTACTCTTGGGGGTTGCGGGGTGGGTACATGCCTGTACAAGCGTCTTAAGGATATAATGAAATTAGCATCGTTTCACGACTCAGAGGGAATGCGACTACTCTCGATTCTAACGAATAGGCTTCTTCAGCACCAGCAGCAGCCAACAACCCCAAACAGCAACAGCAGCAAAACGGAGCAGACAACAAGCAGCAGGCAGCCAGCATCCAGCAGCAGCAAGCATGCAAGCAGCAACCAGCAAGCAGCCAAGAGCATCCAGCAGCACCAAGCAGCAGCAACCAGCAAGCAGCCACGAGCCAGGCGCAGATGAGATGCCAGCAGCAGCAGCAGCAGCAGCGACCAAGCAGCAGCAGCAGCAGCAGGCACCGAGGAGGAGAAGGGTGGAGTTGAACCCCGCGGGGGGGGGTTAGTCCTGATATATCAAGTAACAGCACTCAGGTCCTGGGCTCCCACCCTCCTTGCTAAAGCAAGACAGACTCCAGCTAGCTACACCTAGCTTTCGCCTCTCTGTCTTCTATAATCTTCTATACATTCAGTTGCAGCTTAATGGTGGAAGTCCTCCCTTGCCTTGACAGCATAGTCCACAACTCTTTTCACTGCCACCAATGCGCGCATGGCTTGATGGGCCTCCAAATTTACCAAACTCACCGTAAGACCCTGGTGTTTGGCTGATCTCTGAGCATGTTCCAAAAAGGTGCGGCGCAATTCTGCATTAGTCTCTGCAGCACTAAGCCCATCACAATAAACGGCAGCGGGCGCAGGACAATCTGAGACGAAAAGACTGAGGCAAGTGTGGCAGGCCGGCTGCCATGTCCGTTGGAACATACTTGAAGCGTCCTTGCTCCTATACAGCAACGATGCCCTTTGCTCCAAGTAGCGCTCTTGCTCCCAGTAGTAGGGCCAGGAGCCCCTAGTAGCGTCCTTGCTCCTAGTAGCG